ATATAAACATACACATCACATGTATATATACATATAAAAATATATATATATACCTATAAAAATGTATTTATCAAAAAAAATAATTTGAGGGATGTTGTAATGGAAAGCCATTTTTCCACGTCAACTTCCCAGGTGGTACTAGACCAGAGCAGGGATAATCCTCATCAAACCCACCTCTGGTGCTCACACATCATTTGGGAAGGGCCAGGGCCAGCTAATTCAGCTCCTGTGGAAAAACACCCAGTGGGATGGGTGGCCTTTGGCTCTGCCATGTTTTGTTCCGGAGGAGGAGGAGGATCCTTTGGGATGGCTCCAGTGGGAATGCTGAAGGCTTGAATCCTGTTGCTCTAAAAGCCGTCATTTATAATTAAGGAATGAGCTGAAACCTCTGCTGTGGCTGCATCCACTGACGCTCTGAAGGTGGAGAGCATTGCAGGCAAACCAGCTTCAGCTGCAAATCTTTTGTCTCCAAAAATCCGTCAGAAATCCACGGTCCAGCCCAGACAGGCCTGCAGAATTCCCTCTGTACCCACTCAAGCTCATGCAGGAGATTTTTAGTCGTCTGTCTCCAGTGTTAATGCGATGGAGGGGGGGGTTGTAGGCTCTTTGCTCTCCTGTGGATTTAGTCCTGGATGTGGAAGGATTAAAAGGAATCTGGTCCTATCCCACAGAAGCCTTTCCCAAAGGTGGATTCCACCCCTGCCCTCCAGATACCCATCCTGTGGGGTTTAACTGCGCACTGGAGATGGGGGGAAAAAAAGAGATTTATTCAGTGTATCAGGGCCTCTGTTGTCCTGATGGAGTACAGGGAAGGAGAGCCCATCTGCAGTAGGGGATATCCCAAAATAACAAGGAAAATACAGTGTTTATACAACGCTGGAGACTTGTATACTACTGCTGCTGAGCCCTAAGCTCGCCCGGAGAGCTGCCAAGCGTCAGGAGTGCTCCTGGAGGAAGGAGCTGCAATAGCTGCTGGAGCAGCAGAGCAGGAAAAAGGACTTTTAAAAAGCACAGGTCGGCAGGGGGAAAGCATTTGGAGCTCCAGCTCCTGGGATAAATGGGATAAAGGGGCTATCAGACGGGGCGGATGGGGCTGCCTCGGTTTTTTTCCTTTGCCCTTCGCCCAAGTTCAGCTTCGTTGCTTGAGTGGTGATTGTGGAAGGGGAGTGGGGGGGTCCCTGTGAATTGAAATGCACTCTGTGTGCATCTCAATTAAGGCTGATTTTCTGCCTTAATTGAGATGTGAATTCTCGAGCTGTAGATGTGAATTTAGTGGTTGCTGTGGGAATTAAAACCTGCAGTTGGAAGTGAGCACTGGACAAGCTGGTGGGATGTGGCTGCGGCGAGGCGCCGGCACGGGTTGAAAGCTGAGGATGTGTCAGGTTTAAAAAACACTTTGTTGAGCAGCCTTTCACTCCTCCCCGCAATGTTCTGCCCTCACAGAGGTCTCTGCAGCCTTCTGTGTGATTTAAAATGCCTCTTGCATTCCCAGGAACAGCTTTCCAAGGGGAGCAGCTCCGTGGGGTTTGCCGTACAAAATGTCCTGAACATCGCCCGTGCCATGTCTCTGCCTCTTGGCACAGTTCTGGGAGGCAAACGCAAAACCAGGTTCTTCCTGGAAAAAAAAAAAAAAAATAAATCCCAGCTGTGTTTCCCAGAGCCCTCCTGGGCTCCCAGGAGCCGAGGTTTCGGTTCAGGCTGCACGGGAAGGTGGGGGAAGCAGGGAGCAGGGATTATTTTTGATGCCAGGAAGGAAACGCTGTGCTTCCCTTTCCCTGCCGGGGTTGGACTCCTGGAACTCCCTGTCCCCAGCCCGTGCTCCAGCTGATGCTGTGTCAGCTCCAGCTTCCACATCCCTGCTGCCTTCACCTGGCAGATTCCTTGCCAGGAAGGGGAAGGGGTTTGTTGTGACCCTCACACAAGTGTGCAACTCATTTAATAGAATCACAGAATGGTTTGGGTTGGAAGGGACCTACAAGACCATCAAGTGCCACCCCTTGCCATGGGCAGGGACATCTTCCACTATCCCAGGTTGCTCCAAGCCCCGTCCAACCTGGCCTTGGACACTTCCAGGGATCCAGGGGCAGCCATAGCTTCTCTGGGCAACCTGTGCCAGGGCCTGCCCACCCTCCCAGCCAAGAATTCCTTCCCAATATCCCATCTAACCCTGCCCTCTGGCAATGGGAAGCCATTCCCCCTTGTCCTGTCACTCTAGGCCCTTGTAAGTAATCTTCCTCCATCTTTCTTGTAGGATCCCTTCAGGTACTGGAAGGTCACCCCAAAACCTTCTCTTTTTCGGGCTCAACAGTCCCAATTCCCTCAATTTTTTCTCATAGGAGAGGTGCTCCAGCCCTCTAATCACCTTGGTGACCTCCTCTGGACTTGCTCCAACAGGTCTGTGTCCACCACATTTAGCAGCTCAGAGAAACTTTTGGATTTACAAGCAAAAAGATTTTCAGCCTGGCTTTGGACCTGTACCACCCTTTAAAGTCAAAGTCTGTGTTCTCTAAAGTGATTTTGCAGTGCTTGGAGACTTACCTGAACCGTAATGAATGTGAAATGGCCAGCTGATGAGTTGGTAGTAGTTGATAAATATGAATAAGTTGATCAGTATGGTGAGGTGATAAATATGAAGTGGCCAGTGAATGACAGCAGTAGATGGGAAAAGCCTGAGCTGAAATAACGAGCCTTGCCATAAAACTGTAACCCCCACAAATCAGTAACTCGCAGATTGGGACCCTGGTGAAGATTTGTAGACCTTTAATCAGATTTAACCGGGCTCCTGGCATTCCCTGGTGTGCAAGGATTGCTCCAAGCAATCCTGGATCCCTGGCAAAGCACTGAAGGTTCTTGTCAGCATGTTAAACTCAACCCCATGAGGCAGCTGCTAAACATTTGCCAACCTCTTTTATATGTAACTACCCTGTGGGACAGACACAGACCTTTACCTTCCTGGCTATAACCAACATCTCACTGTTAATTCAAAGTGTTAATTACCCTCAGGCCCAAAGACAGTGTTCTGTGCCATGGCCTGAAAGGTTAATCTGCGGCATAAACCCAAACCCCCTCTGTCAGGCATAAATGGTAGTGATTCAAAACGTCTTTTTTTTTTCTTTTCCTCCCCCTGATTTTCAGTGCCAATTGGTTCAGCTTTCAGTAGGGCAGAAGTTGGACTTCATCACCAGAGTCCACTGTAATGATTTCTCGGATTTTTCTCCCGAGTAGCCAAGGCTTGTGCAAGTTTGCATGCTTTTCTATATTTGGTTTTGTTTAATTTGATTGTACAAAGCTGTTGAAAAGCCCAGCTGAACGTTTCCACTTTCTGGAGTCGTGATTGTGCCATTAAACCAGGAGTTCAAAGGAAAAAAAAAAAGAACAGCTCCTGCTGGTTTTTCTCAGTGACCCCGAGCTCGAGATCCCATTTTTAGATAGGGGCAGAAAAAAGTTCACTTGGCACGTTGTTCTCGTCTCAGTTAAGCTCAAATTTGTGGTGTAGGGGATAATCTTCACCGTCACAGAATCATAGATTATCCCATCTTGAAAGAGAACCACAAGGATCATCCAGTCCCACTCCTGGCCCTGCACAGGACATGCCAACAACCCCACTGTGATGCCAGTGCTGGAGTGGGTTCCTTGGTGTTGTGTCTGCTGGGGCTTTGCCCTTGGATTCTTCTGGATCTGCTCCTGGCTTTCTGGCTGGTGCCCTGCACGAGCATCACTCCTGAAGTGGTGGAGGCAGGAGCTCCTGGAATAAACGTCATCTGGCACTTTTAATTTGGATTAAATTGATGTTTCGTGTTGGAAGTCCAGAATCACAGACGGATCAGGAGATGGAAACTGAATTATTGTGCTTTAACCTGTAAAGTGCTTCTTTGTTGTTACGAAAATTCAGATAATCCACATACAAAATCCACAAGCTCCAAACTCCCTGGTAGCTGTTACCATGTCTAATACTGAGTGTGGAGGTGACCCTGTAACTTGTCCTGCAACCTCTTGAAGTTCTCCTGTGCTTGCCTGGATGACATCCTTGGTTTTTTTTTCCTTTAAAATGAGAGTTTTGGCTGGTGCCGTGGATGCTGACATGTTCCCTGCTCAGTATTTTTGGGTGTGGAGGGTCTGGGCTAAGCGGAGCTTTGCAAAATGCTGGATCATTCATATCCTTTATTTCTCTTTCTCCTCCGTGGTCAGGGGGTTGTTGGAGTGGAAGATGCTCTGCAGGAATGGCACGGGGGCCATTGGGACAGCAAGGGCGGGTGTTGGCAAAAAACATTCCAAAAACCATTGCACAGTGTCTGTCTTTTGGAGTTACCACCATGCTTTGGTTCCCAAAATGGTTCCTCAACTTGGAGATGACCTTAAAAGACCCCGTGGGTCCATCCCTCCATCCATTCCCTCCTTCCATTTCCTGGAGATGGAGACGTGGCTGTCGGGTTTTGCGCTTTGGGTGGTAACTCTTAGTTTCGTTTGGGGAATTTTCCAGGGTTTCTTTGTAGAATCTGGAAGTCTTGGGAGAAAATAGAGAGTTTCTGTTGAATTCTCATTGCGAGAGCTCCTCCTAGTTCTGGTTTTTATTTGTACCGAGGTGACTGGGCTCACCTTTGGGTAACACAGGTGTCCTGGATGGTGGGGGTGGGGAAAACCCAAGAATTGGTAGTTAACCCAAAAAAACCTGTGCAAAATCCCTCCTGGGGAAGTTGTCAGGTCACTCATGACCCCTTGGCTTCATGTTCCAGCCAGGATCACTGTTGGGGCCGAGTGATCCATGGACAGTTGCGTTCATCCTTTTTCCCCCTTGGCTTCTTCCCTGCTCTTATATCCGTGGTGGCTTCAAAATAGCATTGAGCACAAGCAGCCATTTGTATCTGAAAGGGGGCTGTTGGAGGTTTTTTTGGGTGGATAGTTGCCTCTCAGTTGAACACATTTAAACTTCTTTTGTCCTCCGAAGGCTGATTCTGGTCCCGCTTTTAACCGGGGGGAAAAAAATGGGTTCTTTGTTCCAGATGTCAAGAAGGACTGGTCGGATCACGCGCTGTGGTGGGAAAAGAAGAAAACTTGGCTCCTTAAAACGCACTGGACGTTGGATAAATACGGGATACAGGCGGATGCCAAGCTCCAGTTCACCCCTCAGCACAAGCTGCTCCGCCTGCAGCTGCCCAACATGAAGTACGTCAAGGTGAAAGTCAACTTCTCCGACAGGGTCTTCAAGGCTGTTTCTGACATCTGCAAAACGTTCAGTAAGTGCTGCAAAACCTCCCGTGGTGGGGGGGAGGGGAGGTTGGCGTTGGGTTTGGCTCCTGCCTCTCCTTTGGTGCGCGAGCTCGTCCCGTAAATTCACGAAATTATCGGTATTTTTGGGTTTCAAACACCCACCCGGTCACTTGGGCATCAAACAACCTGGGTGTCCATCTTTTTCCCATCCACGTCGACCCTTTCATGTGCAAATACTTAAATAACAGGACCAATTGAACCAAAAACTTACAAAAAGCACATTTTTTTGTGCTGAGTTCTCTTCCATAGCAAGGCTGTCCTCAGTTTTGTCACGGGCAGTAGGCAGTAGCAGCAATACTTGATGTTAAAGCTGCTGGTGTTGGGTCGTAATTTTTTTTTCCCCTGCAAATTTATGTGCTGGATGAAAAACAAACCCTGAAACGGGAAACCTGCCAACCCTGTGGGTTCTCTTCTAGTGGAAAATCACATTAGGGATTAAGTGATGATGCTTCACTGTAAAACTGTCTGGTGGAGGGAAGGAACCGAGTCTTGCTGTCTCCTCCCTGACTCCTCTTCACCTTCTTTTCCATGTCGAGGAGAAGCCCAGAAAAAAAGGAGGGCTCATTCCCTGCCAGCTACACAGGGCTTGAATCAATCTGCTGCTTTAATGCATCGCTTTTTGCCCATCTCCACAAACCCCTCATCCCAAAAGCTGCTGTTTCTTCCTCCCCACCAAAAAAAAAAAAAAAAACCCAACGAGGAGAGGGTAATTCCACGCTGAGGAACCCGGGTGCATGGGGCTGGAGTCCTCCCCTCCAGAAGGAGCCTGCAACCCAACCTGGGCAATAGTAAATCTATTTCTGCCCTCAGAAGGCAGCTGAGGTTACTCTTGGCTGACCCAGTTGTTTGGTAAGGCAGGAAGAGCTCGGCAGTGTCCGGTGCATCCATGCCTCGGTCGGTATTTATAGCTGGTTACGAATCTTTGCTGTTTCTTTCCTGGTTGGGTTTTTTTTTTTTTTGGTGTTTTTTACAATATAAATATTGGGCAGCCTCTCCTTAAAATAGAAAAGGCTTAGCCAGCATTATTTCCGAGTGGATTTTGCTTTTCCCCCCCCACCCTGTGTCCCCTTGGCCTTTCTGATGTCGTGCTAGACAGGGAGGTCGCTTGGTCTCTGCTGAGTCTCTCGGGCTGTGACTCACTTCAGGAAATTCTGATACATTTAATCACAGAACTGGAGATCTGTCGCTGATGCTGCTGAGCACTCAGAGCCTTACATGGACCTGGAGCAGCTTTTCCTTCAACTCTCGGGGTATTTGTGAACAAACCAGCAGAATAATCCTAATATTTAAAGATCTGGGAGGGGGAAAAGCTGCTGGGACAGTGGCAGCCCAGCTGTGGTAGGAGGTCTCTGAGCAGGCAGCAGGAACACATCCATCAAGGATGGTCCTGACTTTCCTTCCATGGCATCCAACATGCTGAAATTAACGTTCCTGATTTTCAGGAAAGCAGGATTTTGGCTGGAAATTTTCGCCTTCCTTTTAGCGACTCTTACCAGCCTGTGCTGTTTGAGGAAGGCAGGAACTACATGGCCAAATACAGTGATTTAATCTTGCTTAGCCCTGGCCTTTGTGTTTACTGGGAGCCAGATGTTCAGCAGAGCTACTGGGAAGACGGTGACATCAGCTCAACATCAGCTGGAGGGAAGAGGGGATTGGGATGTGGGGAGGCAGCTGGAGCTGGAGGGGCTGGGAATACTTTTCCCTGGACCACAAAGGATACCTGTACAGATATATAATGTAGAGGTGTTCAAATACCGTTATAGATGTCCAAATACTGTTATTTATAATATATCTAATCTGACTTTTATATATCTAATATATATGATATAAAATCATGTATATTATATAAAAGCATGTATATTATGTTAGGAAAAAATTCTTCCCTGTGAGGGTGGTGAGGCCCTGGCACAGGTTGCCCAGAGAAGCTGTGACTGCCCCTGGATCCCTGGAAGTGTCCAAGGCCAGGTTGGATGGGACTTGGAGCAACCTGGGCTAGTGGAAGGTGTCCCTGCCCATGGCAGGGGGTTGGAATGAGCTGGTCTTTAAGGTCCCTTCCAACCCAGGCCATTCAGTGGTTCTGTGATTCTCCTTTTTTCCCTCCCCAGTTCATCATACCCTGTATTAATCAAGTTAATTGTCTTCCCAAGGAAAACTGAGCAGGTATTTCAAGGTGGAAGGGAAAGGCAGTGATCCCAGCATAGTCCTTGTGTCCGCAACTCCTTTGATTTCCGAATTTGGGTCTCAGGGAAGTTAGGACAGAACTGTACCCGTGAATTGCTTGTATTTTGGCTGTACCTGTTTGCTGCCGTTGCCCCCAGATCACTTAATTACACACCTCGGTAATTTTAGCATAAAGCATCATTAATGAGTAATTGAAGTAATTCCTGGTGCTGCCAGGACTCTGGCTGGTTGTGTTTGCAAAATCCTCGATGCACGAGCAGAAATAACCCACGTGGGTGGGTTATTTAGGGCCGTCCTTCGCTTCTGTTCCCTTGAAATCGTACCCAGAGGTGTCACCCTTGCAGTGCGTGGTTGATTTTTAAGGAGAAGTCTCTTGTTCTTGTGCAGAGGGAAGTTATTCCAAAGGGCAGCTCCCTGTGGCTCCCTCCCAGGAGGCAGCCCGGAGGTGGCTGTGGGAAGATGCCGGAGCCACTCGCACATCCCTCACTTCCTTGGAGGTCGTGTGAAGCCGGAAAAAAAGCCCAACCTCATTCCCAGTGGCTGGATTGCAGCCCCTCCATTCCCACAGCAACCAGCTGGGAGGGTTAGCAGCATGGATTTGACCCTGCCTGTGGCAGGAGCAGGCAGGAGGAGAGGAGGGGAGCGGGTTTTGGATGGGATGGGCAGCCCTCGTCCAAAGGGTGGCCTGGAATCCTGCCCAGGAGCAGCTGCTGGCAGGCAGCTCTGGCCTGAAGGGCCAGTTTTGATCTGCAATTAAAGACCAGAGAAAGAGAAAGTAAAACTTCCCCCCTTTTTTTTTTTTTTTGGAGCAGCAGGGATTTGTGCTTCCTGCCCGGCTGCCAGCGGGACACAGAGGTTGGGATGGGATCTTCCTGTGTCCCTCCCTCCTGTCATCGTCCCAGTGGGGAGATATTTCTGCCCAGAAATCAGATATCCAAGTGGGATTTGATGGGGCCGCACTGGACACTTTATCGGTGTGAGTGGGAATATCCTCACTGGAAAGTGGGATTTGGGGAGGGAGGAGATACCGGCTCCATTGCAGAGCTCCTGCTCACCTATCATCTCACAAAGCAACAAATGGAAAAATCCTCTTTTCCTCCATGATGAGGAAAAAATTTTTCCCTGTGAGGGTGGGCAGGCCCTGGCACAGGTTGCCCAGAGAAGCTGTGGCTGCCCCTGGATCCCTGGAAGTGTCCAAGGCCAGGCTGGATGGGACTTGGAGCGACCTGGGCTAGTGGAAGGTGTCCCTGCCCATGGCAGGGGGTTGGTACTAGATGGTCTTGAGGGTCCCTTCCAACCCAAACCATTCCATGATTCTGTGATTCTGTGATGGCTTAGTTTGATTCCAGCACAGCAGACACTCTCATGCCCTTAAGCTGCTTCCTTCCAGCGTCCCCTTTCTCCTACTGCTGCCTGTATTTTTTTTTCCATGTGTCCTGGGAGCACTAAGGGACTCTAGGCAGGCTCTGCTGCTGCAGTGTGGGCACGTGGGAGAGGAAAAGCAAACAGCAAGTGTGAAAGTTTTTTCCCATGCCTTGGCGTTTCCTGCCCCGGCGATGCTCCTTCTCCTGGGGAAACGACATATGTTGGATCCGCAGGGTGAGAGGACATGCTGTGACAGCATAAAAGCTCACATCCTTCTCCTCTTCCTCTGGCTGTGAAGATTTGGGGCCTGCGCTGCCCTCCAGCCTGAGCAGGGGGGAGCAGGGTTCATTCCAGATGATACTGGTGGGAGCTGGGAGCGCAGGGAGGAGGATGCAGTGCTGGAGCTGGGAGGAGGCAGCTCTGGGAGGAAACGCTCCAAAATTCATGACTACTCCCTCCCTTACCCACCCTGAGGCTGTGTAAGGCTGAGAAATTCCCTCCAGGCTCTCCTTTTTCCTCAGAGCCTCCTAGAGCATCACACCCAGCTCCTGCCTCCTTATCCTCAAAGAACTCCGTGTGAATCCGTCACCCGTTTTGGAAAACCGAGTCTGGGGGAGCGTCCTGAGCCCGGCAGTGGCAGCTTCTGTGCCCACATCCTGTCTCAATCTGATCCCCAGTTCCTTGGGGGTGAGGAGTGCTGGGAAACTGGGGCTCCTCTTGGGTGGGGTGGGGGTGGCCCCATCTCAGGGAGCTTGTGGAGTGAGGAGGGATGGGATGCGGAGGGTCCCGTGAGGGTGATGAGCTGCTTCCCGTCGCCTCTCCAGCCCCAAAATAAGGAGGTTCCCAAGACTCTGTGAAATGATGGGAAGGTGACAGCCTCCAGCCACCAAATGCAACCCGAGCTGAGGTGACAGAGGCATTTGGGAGTGGTGGGATGCGAGCCCAGCCCAGGCAAGGAGACACCGTCCCGCAGTCCCGATGCCGAATGTGACCCTACCTATTTTTTCCCTTTCCAAACGGTCTGTGCTCCAGGACAGAACGTCCTCTGACTTCTGAAGTATTTGTAATATTTCCACGCCCTCTCTTGCCAAAAAGACTTCTATAAAAAGCCACTGTTTGTTGATTTTTGGGGTTGTTGGTTGTTTGGTTTTTGTTTTTTTTTTTTTTTTTCCACAAAACTGAAACCCTTTGGTAGTCAGAGATGAGCAGCATTCCCAGGGCTCGAGCCACGTCCCCAGCATGGTTGCTTTCCAGGAGGCAAAGCTGTCTGGAGTTCACAGAACCATAGAATATCTGGATTAGAAGGGAACCACAAGGATTGAGTCCAACTCCTGGCCCTGCACAGGACAACCCCAAGAATCCCCACCCTGTGCTTTTCCATTATAAACCTCTTAAACCTTCTTTCCTTCCTTCACACCCC